GGGATTGTCCATGTCTCATGTGGATGAATTGCTACCATACCCAACACGACCGATACAGATTTACAACACATGAACACATAGTTCAGTCCGGGATTGGACATATTTCAAAGGATTTCAGATTGTCCTCATTATTTTGTCATCCGAATGGAACTACAACCTGATTAAAATTATATTTTAGATTAAATGAGGAGTGTCGTCTGCTTTTGCTTTCATTTAGTATCCGACTAGAGGTTCTCTCGCGGGAGGAATACAAGCGGTAAAACATTAATCCGAGTCGTTTAAAGAATGTGTTCCTTATGGCGTTAACTAACTCCATCGCAATCTAGGCGATTAATTTGTCATAGGACGCCAAACTTTGTTTTTGGAAAACATTAAACAAAGAAATCAACACGTGATTGCATTGTCATACAGCATTGTCATGAATTCAAAATCGTTTAGGTTAGAAATGTTGAAGCTTAAATATCCTCTTTATACCCCGTGAGAATAGCACTCCATACCCAACTTATATTGTGTGATTTTCTCTCAGAGTAGTCCGTGCCATTATTTGTTTTCCAGGGAACGGTGGTGTGTAGGAGTGGGATTTGGGTTGGGGTTGGTGGTGGTGTTGGTGGGGGGGTGGGGGTGGGGGGTGGGGGGTGGGGGTGGGGGGGGGGGGGGGGGGGGGGGCGGGGTGGGGGTGATAATTCAGTCGTAAAGTGCTGGCCTACGCAATCACAGGTGAGAAATTCAAGAACGTGTAATTCGAAACTCCCTACCTGTTTCTAAGGCAGCTGTGAAACTCAATGGTCTGTGCGTGTTCTGTTGTTGTACACTCCACGGTAATTTCTCCTCACAATGATCATACAAATCACATTATGTGTACCATCACTGTCGTGTAAGTTCTCCGGACACTTTAAAATGGAGGTATGTAAACAACCGCGCAGCTATATACTGGATCTCTAAGAATTAAAAAAAAAACATTTCTAATAGTTTCACAAAAACAAGAAAATTCCAACAAGTGAAGGTTATCATAATCAAAACTAGACCTCAATTAAATTATGGCAATAAAAAAAAACCAAACAAACAAACAAACAAAAAACAGCAAAGGTTAACACGACAGTCCTGAAAAAAATACAAGGAGAATAAGTCCAGATGTTCCGCAAAAGTAAGCGTCTTCTGCTTCATCAACTTTGTCAAGTTAATCTTGGTAAATGCGTGTAAGTTATGTAACGTTCTCAAATGAGAGCAAGGTATACAACAACGAAACCAATCTAGCTATCAAACAGTTACTATACTCTTTGGCCGAAGTCAACAAATAACAACAGGAAGATACCAACATTTCAACGTAATTCAGACACAAATGCCATAGAACTAGGACAAACTAAGAACAAAAGAAAGATTTACATGAAGACTCCTGAAAAAGTACAAGGAGAATAAGACCAGGTGTTCTGGAAGAGTAAGCGTCTTCTGTTTCATCGACGACAACCGCCATGTAAACCTTGGTCAATCCAAGTAGGTAATGTCAAGTTCTGAAAATGAGAACAATTAATACAAAAACAGACCAAACGGGCAAACTAACGAGCATCAGATACGTCCAGCATCATGTCACACAAAATAATAGAATATTTCTCAATTATATAACTATGGCGACCAATAACTTTAGGCATGTTTTTGAACTGTAAAATTCATTGCTATAATTCTTAACAAGAAATTTCAAACATGTATCATACATAGGTTATATGTAATGTATATCTTATAAATATTTAATGAAAGTGAAGGTTGTTTACTTCCTACCATGCATGCTTATTTGGACATAGGTGATATCCTGTGTCGATGTTTTAAATTTCCGTTGTTATGTCTCTCTGTTGAAATTAATGGTGCATCAAAAAAAAAAAAAAAAATACAAAATACACTGAGATGTTGCTGTTGTTACGTGCGGAACAGTTGAACCCTCCACTCGAACTCTTATAACTTGAAGTCCCGGTATAACTGAATGTTTTTCGTCGGTCCCGGCCAAACTTCACACAAAGCGTTCGAACTTGACTTTAAGCGAATACTCGGATAACTCAAAGGACCCATCGTCTTCGAAATAATGAAGTTTGGTCAAACTGTCAATAATATATTTCTTATATATAGGTATTAATTTCTGTTTGTTATACCTTAAAAAATACTGTAAAAAATATTTAGAATACCTTCATGTATGCATGTGTATGAGTGAAAGTAGGATGAAATTTAAATTATATGAATTACCTCCCTTTACTGTTGTAAAAGTTACCTCCCTTGCGTTTGTTATTTTTCAGTTCTAACTATATGTGGTCTACTTCTGGCCACTTCAATGTTTGAAGATAGTTTACATAGGCTTTGCCTGTTATTCAATCCAGTTTGACGTTTACATCTTATCAATAAAATGTATTGAAATGAAAAATAATGAAGTTTGACTTTAGTAGAAAAACGACACGAAAAACTAAATTTCTTTCAATCCTGCCGTTTCGAATTTATATATTCAATATAAAAGATGTAACATTTACAGGGTATTATTTTCCCACTAAATGCGCAGAACAGGGATGGGGGATAGTAATAGGCTTATTCCACTGTTATTCTTCCAGTGTAGATAACTTCAAACACCTTAATTTTTTTCGGTGGTCATATTTTTTTTCATTTTGCTCACAAAATTAATCAGTAAATGTAGTATCTTAATGCATGATTGATATACTACATTTATTGTTCACGAGAATATTATGATAATTCCAACTTCCATCTTGCCAAGAAAGAAATAAATCATAACTAATATGTCTTTTCTGAGCCCTCTTACAATGTAATTTGGTTCTTTAATAAGGTAATCATAAAAAGTGACAACTGTTAACACCACACACGATCATGCAAGCAAACGAGTCATGATTTCCTAACAAAGAAATATTGATCTAATATAAATCTAAACGATTTGACTGAGAAATAGTAATCGTCTTGAGATATATTATGAAAAAAGTGAGAATTATTGTTCATATTGAGAAGTATTAATCGGACTGTGAAAAATTAATAGTAGTGCGAAACATTAATCTAACTGGGAAATATTTTTCTAATTAAAAATATCAATAATCATATTGCAAAATATTAGTATAACTAAGAAATATTGATCTCTAAAATACCCTGCAGTATAATACATAGCTTGAATGATAATAACACAATGAAGACAATCTCACTCTTATTACGTTTTATCATTCTTATACTGATCGGTTGCTGAAGACTGATTGTATGAATGACGAGTTGGTTGTGTTATTTATTGGAGGACTTTTTACGTCTCTTCATCGACAAGATATATGAAAGCGTAAATGAGTCTAATTCCACTATCACTAGCCTTTATTAGAGACTCGCCGGGATTATTTTTCTTGAAGATAATGACATTTGTCACGTTCTAAATAGCCTTTTATGATTGGCAAATTAACTGTAAAAGTATTATTATGACGATCTCCAAAAATATCCAGCTCTTCAGAACTCATAAATACGATCTGTGTATTCATTAATCTTATATCAATCATGGGCGACTACTGCAACACAGTGTGGTGACCAATATAGCGCTTTATCAAAGAACAATTAGATAAAGTCTGCTACAATAAATGAGAACATTGTGTGTAGAAATGATCGGTGCGTAGAGCAACTGCGCTGGCTTTGAGATAACTTCGAGATAAAACGGGCATGGAGATAGAATGAAAAGTGTATAGACCAAACATGAAGAAGAATACGGACAAAATCTGAAAATCGTAAGGATACAGCATAGAAAAAATACAGACATTGCTTGAAAGAGAGTATGGCCAAGGCTTGCAAAAGTGTATGGACATAGCATAAACCTTTGTATGGCAAAACCTGAAAATCGTATGGGCACAGCATAGAAAAATAAGGACAAAGCTTAAAAGAGAGTATGGACACAGCATAAAGATGTGTATGGCTAAACTTGAAAATCGCATGGGCACAACATAGAAGCATACGGACAAAGCTTGAAAGAGAGTATGGACAACGCTTTCAAAAGTGTATGGACATAAAAATCGTATGGACACAACATAGAAAATACGGACATAGCTTGAAAAAGAGTATGGACAAAACATGGATTGATTAACAGCTTTGATCACATCACATTTTAGTGATCGAACAAACAGCGTGACTTTTGATCTTAATACAGATGTAATAAACACAAAAGTTGTTTGACCATATCTGATTTAAATGTTCTGATACCAATGTTAACGTGTGATGATTAGTCGAAAATTTATACTAAAATTCACCGTTGATTAGAGAAATAGTCACCGTTGATTAGAGAAATAGTCACCGTTGATTAGAGAAATAGTCACCGTTGATTAGAGAAATAGTCACCGTTGATTAGAGAAATAGTCACCGTTGATTAGAGAAATAGTCACCGTTGATTAGAGAAATAGTCACCGTTGATTAGAGAAATAGCTCTCACTTCATTTTTTTCAAAACTTCTTTGAGTTCATCAGCTTTTTGTTCAAGATCTTGGGGTGAGTTGTGTACTCTTTATATATAACAGATGTCGCTAATAACCAAATTTCACACCGCTAAACACGTCCACTCAATATTTATATTTGATATGTCACACTGTTAAAACGTTTTGTTAGAGGTGCTTTCTGAAATGTAAAAAAATACCAAAAGAACGTAAAACTAAAACAAAGCTGTGCTGCATTCAATCCTCAAACGATGTCTCTTGAAATGACCTGAATCGATGTTGCAGAGGACACTTTTACTTCAAGATCTGACATTGACGTCAGAGTATAAAACTCGGTTTTAGTTAAATTATGTAAGGTATCATACATGCTTGCCATGTTATCCAAGGCTTTGTACATGTGAACAACAGGCGACAAAGTCTGTAGGAATTTCAAGCTTTTTTTTCAACACAGACGAAACCTGTTACAGGAAGTGCGTCATTGCTGTTACTATGCGATCGCGCTGTATGTACACATGTATATATACAGCACATAATTAACATTCACCACATTTTCTTGAATTGCAGGTAAATGACAGCTTCCCGTCTTGGAACGAATATGGTTTCCCTAATTTTAACATTTTGCAAATGCTTACTTGTGACTCTGTGCGTGACAGGTGGATCATGGTAGGTAAAACTTTATTTATCTTTAAACCTAAGGTAGTACTTTCAACATATCCATCTTTATTGCTCATAGTTTTTGAGATAAAAATGATCTATAACTTGAAAAAAAATCTTTAAAGAAACAAGATCAATAATTATAAAGTTGAATTGTACTGACAAAAGTATGATTTTCATGGTGTGCCTGACTTTTGTAAATATTAAATGTAATTTGTATTCTACACTGTCACCAATTTATACTTTTGTTCAATATGATATATTCCTTTATAGATATACGACAGCAGTTGTAAATGAAATGTATAATACCCTTGGCACTTGTAGCTACACCTTTTATCTTATGTATCGTCAGAGACAAATGGATACAAATTATGTTATATAATGTCTAGTCGCTTTACTGAAACACTATTGGTGTTCGTAAAGGTTCGGCGACAGCAGATATTTTGTGGGGCATTACCGCAGCTAATTAACAGTAATACTGTAAATGAGCTGGTTGGGTGACACATTATTACTCCCACGATTATTATTACAGGCTTCAATATTGTTTCATATTAATATTTATAGTCTGTCCATCCGTCGTCTGGCGCCCGTTTGGTTTTTTAAATAAAAATCGCCCATGAACGACAGCACGGATTTTTACCAAATTGTCCTTGAAGCATGTTTGGGGAAGAGATATAAACCTGGTCTTATTCTTCTTGTGCTTTTGCAGGAGTTTCCGTTTCAATCTTTCTTTTGTTCATATTTTGCCCTAGTTTTATGGAATTTGAGTTTAAATTATGATTTTGTTCCTATGTTGGTGTTTTCTTGGTGTTATATATATATACAGTCATTAAATAATGAACATTATAAAATGTATCCATTTATGGTTCCAGTGCATTTCTCAAATTATATGTGGCATTTGTTTAGGTCAGTTTGGATTCAGTCGCCGCCACTCCTAGATTTATGAAACAGCACATTATAATTATTTTTGGTTATGTTCCATCTTATTCTGATTTGTATATGTATTTACGGTTCGCCCGTTTCTCTTTTGTACCTAATGACAAGAGGGATAATACATAGTTCAGTATACTCCGCAGTGTTTCTGTATAGATTTATATGGTAAACTACAGTGAATTCTCCCCTATCTACTTTCAATGTGTGTTACAGCATGATGCAGTAAGGAGATGTAAAATCAAGATTTTAGTGGAATAATAACGAATGAACTGACTACGTGATATTGAGCACTTACAATATATATATACTTCGCACAATTTGTGAAATATAATAAAAAACAACTTACATGTCTCGTTTTTAATGTTGTCTGTCCTAATTCGATTTTGCAGCGGCACACATGACGGCCCCCATGATGCGAGAGTTCTAACACAAGAGGACAACAGAAATTTAGATAGCATCGCAAACAGACTGATAGAGAAGAGACCTCTGGACACATATGAGAGCGGTTTAGCAGGGAAGCGAATGATGGATCCTCTTGCAAACGGACTTGTCGGGAAACGTTATATGGATTCACTGGCAAGTGGTCTGATTGGTAAACGGTACATTGATGATTTAGCAAGTGGCTTGATTGGGAAGAGATACCTGGGTGGCATAGCAAACGGCTTAATTGGAAAACGCTATATTGGTGGCATAGCGAACGGACTAATTGGAAAACGTTACCTGAGCGGCATAGCGAACGGACTAATTGGTAAGCGCTACATCGGCGGCATTGCGAACGGTTTGATTGGGAAACGGTATGTTGACGATATCGCCAGTGATTTGATCGGAAAGCGTAACGACAATGGACAAATGCATGAAGATAAAAGACTTATCGACTCTCTAGCAAGCGGCATCATTGGCAAAAGATCAAATGGCAACAACGATTATGACAACGAAGCAAATGAAGTCAACAAGCGCTACATCGATGATCTGGCAAGCGGTCTCATCGGGAAAAGAGGATCCTTTCGACGAAGTGATCTTCAAGCTTTATTAGCAAAACGGCCATTCGGACAGCTCGCGAATGGTCTGATCGGAAAGAGGAGTGCTGAAAATTAAAAAGTCATGGAGTCATCGAACATCAGCGCCTACTAAAATCACACGTTAAAAATTGATTACAAGTACTGTAGTAAATCATTACGTTCACTCAAACAAACTGGACTTTTGTTGCTAGATAAGAAATACCTGAATATTAAAGAGGAGAAAAAGAGTTTTAAATCTTATCATAAGCCATGAAAAAATATAAAGACATTAATAGTTATAAAACATTTCTGAATCGCGGGGATCGAAGAATGCAGGAATATATAGCACACTGATCCGGCAAGGATTTATCAGACTTTTTTTTTGCCCTGATAAAGTGTATTAGGAGTAATTCAAACGTCAAATACGTATACATTTGTTTGGAAGAAAGGACATTTATCATTCTTGACAACACATTTTTTATTTATTGGCTGGCGGGATCGGCTGAACAAGGTGTGTCCTTAATGAAGAAATGGCATTAGAGCTTTAGCATTATCTGTGTCTACTTTTCGAAGCGCCTGCGGGACAGGAAAGGACTTATTACAAAAGTTTGTTAGCAGAGATGCCACATCAGATATCGGGACAGGAATTGATGAATTATCTACCTTTTATGGACTCTTTAGTTTAACGGGTGGGAATGAATTATAAGATGACGGGAGAGTGAAAAACGGATCATATCAGAATGTTATCTCGTGTCATTTATCGATAAGTTTGTTTGTATTTATGTGCTTCTTTTGATGTGTGTTTCATATGTTACATAACTATATATAACAACTCTGTGCTATGGTGTTGTATCCTACTTTTCAATATTCACTACAGCATACATTTAGGAATTGTTATCGTTTACATATCTTTGCCGGTGTAAGGCATTATCATACTGTATACTCACTAAAGTCCGTCTTGCTCCTCCAAGTCGTGAACTGTCAATACCCCAGGAATATCACAAAGAATAAATTCAAATTGAGTTGCATTTTCTTATAACAAGATGAAAATTGAAAAAAAGTATTATGACATCGTTGCTTTTGATTAGCATTAATGGAAAATGTACAGCAGGTGCGTCGATTCAAATTGATTAATTATTAATGTTTGTAGATATTTTATCCTTGTAAAATAGAATTTAGATATAAAGCTGAGATATAGGTATCAAATTCAATCGTTTCATTCGCAGCAGTATACAAAATTGATAACAGACAAAAACAACATGCTTAAACTTCAATAGGCATTTAGGAAATGTTTACCTATTATCTATCAATCAACTGCAAACAAATCTATGGATCGGCGGTCTTTTGGTCCGTCTGTTCGTCCGTTCTTTCGCCCAGTTAGGAAGATGAAACTTGTGACTGCATCCCTGAATGATCAACAGTATAGCTCAAATCTTATTTTCTTTTATCTATTTTTGTTTTCAACAAAATAGAAATGTGTGTCCATATCTGGGTAGTTTCAAACTTTAAGGGTTGAATTTGATATCCCTGCGTCTTTGCTGCAGCTGAATTTTTCCGATGAAATAGTGCAACATGATATTACAACTTTGGTGATCTATCAAATGTCTATCAGATATTATCATTTTGCTCAAATGCTTTATATATTTTATTTGAATGCTTCGTATTGTCAGAACATAAAACAGCATAATGAGAAACATATAAACGTCAACCCACCTAAGTTGTCTCCCTTGATTAGAATATTGGTGAGGACGTCCCTTCTGTGCTATATTAGATATGATAGGTTAGAGAAAATATTGTGGTTTTTGCAGATGTAACCTTGTGATTTCTGAATGTTCAATAAATGATGGCAACTGTCAATACGTGTGACAAATTCAAGATTCCTTGTTTTATTTTATATGATAGTCGGTGTGGATAGAAAACTTTTGTGACAAAACATAAACAAAGAAAGATGTGTTTAATTTGTTCAAAGAATAATGCGCTCCGAGGTATCATAACTGTTGCTTGCTATTGGAATAAAACACAAGACAACGATCTTCGCGATTACCTAATATGGAAACCATGAAAGGTAATGGTGAAAAGCAGGCGTTATTCGACCACTGTTATCATATCCATTTAAAATGTCGGCACTTTTCGCCGTAAACTTAATTTAAGCCGCCATCTGATCATGATGGGTGATTTAATCACAAAATGTCGGTAGTCCGTCCTTCGTCAGACGTTAAACTGTTTTTCTTAATTAGTGGATGGATCTTTATCATTAGATTTTCCCTTGATCCCTACTTGTGTCCTTTTGATTTTAGGACTGGTCAAGAACAGAAAATGACTGACAAACTTTAATATTTTATTTTGACGATTCAAATTTGTTCTTGCATTTTCTTGTAGGGAAAAATAAGATGAATTAGGTTCCATTTGGTCCCTTATTTTGTACTGTTGACTATTTTCAACTGGCCGCCATCTTGCATTCTGTTTATGTGCTTTTTTTTCAAATTACGTCAACAGTATTGATATGCATCACATTTGATTACGCATGTGCAGGACAGATACTACATGTAAACAAAATGTCTTCCCGCGTGAATAAGCCGTATGTAGAAATTAAATTTCAGTTACAAAACGAAAGATGGACGATTGAAAACTTCTGATGTTGTTCACAATGCGATAAGACACGACATCACGACACTCGATTAGGTCTAACGTGTTGGACATCAAACTAAAGTAATTTTGCTATCATTTTTTTAAGTGTTGCAAGTTCGAATAACAGGTTCTTATATTCTGTTTTAGTATAGTCGCTGTCGTTTGCGTCCATCATCGCGTGCTTCGGTTGGAAAATCATCTGCCTCAATTTCAAAAATGTCAAGTAAAGTGAAGTTATTAGCGTTATTTGATAAGGGTTTTCCATAAAAAAAATTAATGGTTGAGCTAGAAAATTGGAAATCACATGTCATGTTCATTTGGGATAAGTACGTTCACAAGTATAAGTCATTATAGTAACACTACAAAGATGGCTACAGATCTCATCAGTGTAGTAACACTACAAAGCTGGCTACAGATCTCATCAGTATACATCAGTGTAGTAACACTACAAAGGTGGCTACAGATCCCATCAGTATACATCAGTGTAGTAACAGTACAAAAGTGGATACAGATCTCATCAGTATACATCAGTGTAGTAACACTACAATGGTGGCTACAGATCTCATCAGTGTAGTAACACTACAATGGTGGCTACAGATCTCATCAGTGTAGTAACACTACAAAGGTGGCTACATATCTCATCAGTGTAGTAACACTACAAAAGTGGCTACAGATCTCATCAGTGTAGTAACACTACAAAGGTGGCTACATATCTCATCAGTGTAGTAACACTACAAAGGTGGCTACATATCTCATCAGTGTAGTAACACTACAAAAGTGGCTACAGATCTCATCAGTGTAGTAACACTACAAAGGTGGCTACAGATCTCATCAGTGTAGTAACACTACAAAGGTGGCTACAGATCTCATCAGTATACATCAGTGTAGTAACACTACAAAGGTGGCTACATATCTCATCAGTGTAGTAACACTACAAAAGTGGCTACAGATCTCATCAGTGTAGTAACACTACAAAGGTGGCTACAGATCTCATCAGTGTAGTAACACTACAAAGGTGGCTACAGATCTCATCAGTATACATCAGTGTAGTAACACTACAAAGGTGGCTACAGATCTCATCAGTATACATCAGTGTAGTAACACTACAAAGGTGGATACAGATCTCATCAGTGTAGTAACACTACAAAGGTGGATACAGATCCCGTCAGTATACATCAGTGTAGTAACACTACAAAGGTGGATACAGATCCCGTCAGTATACATCAGTGTAGTAACACTACAAAGGTGGATACAGATCCCGTCAGTATACATCAGTGTAGTAACACTACAAAGGTGGATACAGATCCCGTCAGTATACATCAGTGTAGTAACACTACAAAGGTGGCTACAGATCTCATCAGTATACATCAGTGTAGTAACACTACAAAGGTGGGTACAGATCCCGTCAGTATACATCAGTGTAGTAACACTACAAAGGTGGATACAGATCTCATCAGTATACATCAGTGTAGTAACACTACAAAGGTGGCTACAGATCTCATCAGTATACATCAGTGTAGTAACACTACAAAGGTGGCTACAGATCTCATCAGTATACATCAGTGTAGTAACACTACAAAGGTGGATACAGATCTCATCAGTATACATCAGTGTAGTAACACTACAAAGGTGGCTACATATCTCATCAGTATACATCAGTGTAGTAACACTACAAAGGTGGCTACAGATCTCATCAGTGTAGTAACACTACAAAAGTGGCTACATATCTCATCAGTATACATCAGTGTAGTAACACTACAAAGGTGGCTACAGATCTCATCAGTGTAGTAACACTACAAAGGTGGCTACATATCTCATCAGTATACATCAGTGTAGTAACACTACAAAGGTGGCTACAGATCTCATTAGTATACATCAGTGTAGTAACACTACAAAGGTGGCTACAGATCTCATCAGTATACATCAGTGTAGTAACACTACAAAGGTGGCTACAGATCTCATCAGTATACATCAGTGTAGTAACACTACAAAGGTGGCTACATATCTCATCAGTATACATCAGTGTAGTAACACTACAAAGGTGGCTACAGATCTCATTAGTATACATCAGTGTAGTAACACTACAAAGGTGGCTACAGATCTCATTAGTATACATCAGTGTAGTAACACTACAAAGGTGGCTACAGATCTCATCAGTGTAGTAACACTACAAAGGTGGCTAACATACAAAGGTGTAACTACAAAAGTGGATACAGATCATCAGTATACATCAGTGTAGTAACACTACAAAGGTGGCTACAGATCATCTACATCAGTATACATCAGTGTAGTAACACTACAAAGGTGGCTACAGATCATCAGTGTAGTAACACTACAAAGGTCAGTATACATCAGTGTAGTAACACTACAAAGGTGGCTACAGATCTCATCAGTGTAGTATACATCAGTGTAGTAACACTACAAAGGTGGCTACAGATCTCATCAGTATACATCAGTGTAGTAACACTA